GCAAGCTTCAAGGCATTGGATATCTGACTTGATCAGTAATGGGACGTTCGGGTACTGCTGCAAGTCAGTCGTATGCTACAGTATGTAGGATGTATGTAAGTTGGCGACGCGAAGGCTGAGCTGCAATTGCAATTGCAAGCATGAACTGCCCTTTTTGGGCTCTTCTCTGTTCACCCCCACCTCGCTTGTTCATCCATGGAGTTGCCTCTGTAGCTTGTCTCCAACTTCTCTATCTGGACACTAGCATCGGGCTAGACAAGGGTTGGATCTTGCTTCTGACCCAACAACGCTGCGTTAATTGATCGTAACCTTGCACAACTCACAATGCTTTGCATTCACTCAGGAACCATCCTGTCATGTAATTCTCAGCCCAGTCGAGTCGAGTCAATCGTCGCGATTCATCTCATACTGAGAATGCGGATATGTCTCTCGGAGGATTCCATGTGATGATTGCACTGGCTTGAACTTGCCCTTTTCAACAATTAGAGAACAACATCAGGCTGAATAGGGAATCGCTTTGAGTCTTCTGAATCGCCAATTCACCATTGTCATTCGTCGTGCTCGCTGTGGAACCGCTGTGTTTCTGAACAGGGGCCCTAGTCGTAGTGTGACTGTCTCACAAGGAGAAAAGGACCCTGAATTTTCACAGAGACAGACGGCTCCATCCTCTTTCAATTTCCACGGAGCCGCTTCGATTGACTCTTGCCTTTAACCTGAGCGGTTGCCACTGGCCTAAGTAAGCCGAGTATTCTCTACAAGGACATGCTCTTCAGCAAAGACGGTCGAGGCCTCGAGAGGCGTCATTCTCAAGAGCCTTCAACGGGCGCCGGCGGCTTCATAGTTGAGGAACCCAGTGCAGGGAACAATCCCCCAGTTGTCGACAGGGGGCCCAGGCAACCGAGAGGCGCCGAGGCTGCTAAGTTCCTGGGGCATGATGATGAACGCATTGAGCATACGGATAAGTGAACACACAGTAGCATCCCATTTAGCATAAGCATAGACCAGGCATTGAAACAACAGCGTACACGAGGCAAGAGGACAGGGCTGTAAAGGTGACAAGGACGGATATCTAGATGTCCAGTGCAGAGTCGAGGTCGACCAGGGGCCGAAGCGTTAACGGCTCTTTCTGTTACAGTCGAGGCAGTTTTTCAAAACAACAAGAACCGGTTTTGGCGGTTGGACCAAGATCCCAGTGGGCGGTAAACGTCATGCTTCAGGGCACTCAGGGCACGCACGTATACAGCTGGAGCCCCAATGCTAGATCCCCGGAATAAAGACCAGCAGCACGGTTGTCAATTGTGCGAATTTCGACATGGGAAATGCCTGCCCCAGGTGCCAAAGCTGAGGTGCTATCCCTAGCACAGAATAAAGACCCGGTACCAAAGAAAGGGAGGCGACATTTTGACATTTGAATTGGAGCAACAGAATGGAGACGTTGGGGCCTTTTACTTTTTTCATCCGAGACACAGGTACGATAGTGTGATTACAAAGATGGTGAATTGAACGTTTGGGTACGAAACACTATGGAAATTATTATGGACTTGACCGCGGTCTTGCCTAAGGGAGGGAGATTCACCTACGCAGGGAGAGATAGCTCACGGTGAGAGTGAAGCTGTATCCATAGCCGTAGGACAGTCGACTCACAAATCACTCTATTCATCTGACTCGTTTCTACGTTCCGACCTGACACATCTTACACATCAGTATTAAGTCTCTACCGCCAGTGTCACTCTTGCTGTCGCTGTCTCAACCGAGTCGCGGAGGCACGTCGTAGTTCCGAGCTCCTGGTGGCCAACGAGCATCGAGATTCTCAGACAAGAGGTTCCTTTGTCTGAGTTATATCGGGGTCCTCACGCCACTGGAGCCGCTGTTTCTGGCGAAGCGACAATCCGTCAGGGAACTGACAAAGAGCTGACTTGAACTTGACTTATTGTTGTCTAAACTCGAGGTTGTTTATCCAATCCCGAAGCGACGGTAATTTTTGGGCCGGCACAAGACTAGGACATTGAAGCTGCAACAAGCCACAGCAATAAAGGGTCGATTGATCACAGTCAAGTGCTCAGTCTTTCATCATGAGGCTTGACAAAGGCTCCGGATTGGGAAGTGGTGTTTCTGGGTCTTGATTGATGTGAGAGCAAGAGAACGGATATCTAATGTTAGAAAACACTGCGTCGACAGTATCGTCGTCTAATAAATTTGGCAATAGGCATTTTGTTACGGAAACAGAGAAGTATACTATGGACCTCCACTTTATCTTTGAACCCTTTCAGGTAGTGGCTTATTGTGGATTGTTTTCGAGGGTGATCTCTTTGAGACTGCCCATCAAATCAATATGGCTTCAACAAAGTCTCAGCTCCAGGGCGAGTTTCTTTGTTCAACGTTTATGCAGGCAACGGTATCCATGCTTTGGGAGATATTTGATTCTCCTTTTCCTTTCACCATTCTCGTGATAACTCATCTCCTGTCTTGTCTTCTCATTCAGGTTACTGGGTCGACGCATGGTCATGGATCCAGCTGTTGAATTGACATATCCAGCATCGCGGGTCGGGAGGACGCATGGCATGGGTGCCAGTAGACTTTATTACACATGTCGATGCCCTCACCGCTTCTTAACCTGGGGTGATGATGTAACCCGGTTGGTCGGTGCATGGCTGCTGGCATAGAGAAACGCATTGAGCAATTGTGTAAGATATCCATCGATTGGATGTGTTGCGTGCGTCAAGGCTGACCAGGGGAAATGGGTGTCGAAAATAAAACGGTCGATCATTCACGCAATGAGATCAAGTTTGTCGATGTATCTGTGCTAAATCGAGATGAACAAAGACGATGAGATAGCCTGCCAATGACCGAGAGCTCGATCTCTTGCGGTATGAGTTTGAGACAATGCCAGCAAACAGATGGCGTTTATCCATGTCATGGAGGTTTGTCGAGTATTCATCGACAACTGTTTAATTTATCATGACTCTCCGGAGTATGGGTGGTATTCTTTATGCGAACTGGAACTGCCCTGGTTTATGTCTGTGCAATGGATGGGATCCATAATGATGAATGGAAGCTCTAGAAGCCGGGAATGCACATGACAGAGCCGAAAGACATAAAACGTCAATCAGGATGCCTTGCCTTGCCTTACCCAAGACGCTATCAAAAGGTTATTCCAGAAAAGTAAACAAGATTATATCGTCTGCCAATCTAGCAAAGTCTGGCAGAACCAAGTTTGATGCCAAACATCCAAATCCAACTGCATATCATCCAATTCAAGGCACAGCTTCACAAACATAGCATAGCTCTGCCCTGTCCTGCCCTGCCCTGCCTTGGCCAAGGACAAGCTCCCGCACGGTAGCTTAACTGAGGTGCTGCTCGACCTTACCATACTACGCTACGTAAAGTGCCTATAATGCCCTGGTCTTGTTCTGTTAAGCGCCTGACGAATCCAGGACAAGGATAGCCCCAAAGGTCCAAAGTGACATCCCCACCTCCGCTGAGCAACCGCGCGCTGTCCTCCGGGGCGACGTCCATTCAGCATCGACAGATACCTGGTAAGTGGGCAGCAGACCGGCTGGGGGAGGGATTGGCGAGAGATGTGATTTGCTTCAGCAGTGCAGGCCTTTGCTGCAGGACGTAAAACGACTTACGGGAGCTCTGCTGTGCTGCCCGGTACCTTGTGCCTTGCCTTGAGGCCCTGAAGGTGCGTGCAAGTGAGATAGGTGCCCACCCAAGGCACGGTATCTATCCAATGTGGGATCTTGGTAGACTTGGCTCGACACGCCCCTCTCACACCCTCACACCTCTCTCCCTTCACTGCACTGGGGGTGCAGCTTTCGCCCACTAAACTCCACTGTAAGTCGGTGCTCCCCAGCGACCCCAAGGCCCCCAGCACGCACCCAAATCACCCCTAACAACCTTGGTGGGAATCGCCTGGGAAAAAAACTCCAACCGGGCAGACAAGCCTTTGCCTGGACTGGGCTTGGTTGAATCCATTCAAAAGGCTTCAGCTCCCGCACTCACATCTTCACTTTGCTCCCCCTTCCCACCCATCCCGTCCGACAGTCTCTCCAAAAAAGGCAAATACGGTTACGGCTAGCAATCTTTATTATATCCAACTTAGACAGCCGCTCGTTCTTCCAATCGATTAGACCCCCATATCAGTCCTTCTTCGATCCAGCCAACAAGCAGCACTAACTAGCCTGAACTCGAAGCCCACCCTCGGATATCGGACAGGTTCTCACCAGTGGTCGATATAAAAGAGAATAAGGGGAAAGCATTGAAAGACAGGAAGACCCGGCGCAAATTCAATTCTCGTTCTTGGACAAAAAGGCTTTCTGTCTGTCTCGGTGTGCTAGTTTTAGCATTACGGTACTCAGTAACCTTATCTTTTCCTTGGTACTAGCATCCAATTGCCTGTACTGTACTGTGTGTATTTGAGACCTGTGCGATTTGGTCCTCTGCCATCCGCCCAGCAACGCCCACCCCTGGTCAATTTGGCACTTGGTCTGGACCAGCTTAACCATCTCGATCCCTCTCGAGATAGACTAAGACCTCGACGTCTTTTCGACTCAACCTGACTCTTTGCTTCATAATCGTAACGGCGACGACTCTCCCTGTCGTCGGACGCATTCACGATTACGTCTCTATCGAGTCTTGTTCGTCCCTCCTTCAGATGTCATTCGAACGAGTATAACGACCGCCGTCACACGCTATCGTCGAAACCCCGCCACGAGCTAATCTCCCATCATCCATCTAATACTTGGTTCGCCCACGAGCCGACTTTAATACAATTCAATCTGTGCAAACCTTGGCTTCAAGGCACTTGCCCAGACGCTCATTCGATACCATTACAGAGGTGTTACTGCAGCATTGACTTACTGCAGAACTACCTCTTCAATACTCCATCGCCGTGTCTTCGATATCGAGTAGCTCTTAGTAGCTGACGTGCTTCGACAGAACTCGATTAAACCCGGGTTCCCTCGAATCGTCCCGCTGCTTCATTACCATCATTCACAATGGAAGCCTCTTCCCCTCTGGCGGCATTACACCGCCCGTCAATGCTCCCTAGTTGGGGTAGTCGAGATGTCTTTCGCGGGCACCCTCATTACTCTACATCATCTGTCACATCCGCAAGCATGAGTCTGCGCGAGCAGATGCACAAGCACTCTGGAGACTATTTCAACGTCAAGGACGTACGAGGCTCCTCGCCCGCTGCGAGTTTGGCTGCTGATCTTTCCCAGAACTTCCGACTTGACAGCGATTCGAGGTTGGTTGCGCCGCCTGGCAATCGTTTTACAGTGTCTTGGCTAACATAACTTCCAGTCCTCAGTTCCCCACTCCCAGAAGAGCACTCTTCACGGCTGGCATGATGGGCAGCTTGGAAGGTCGAGGTGAGCAGGACCAACAAGGTCTAGAACAAAGAACCTCGTGGCTAATTGGCATGTTCCTATAGATTCAGTCACAACTCCCCCATTACCATCCTCGTCGCCTGCCCCACTGGCCGAGCTCAAGGAGTTGATGGAGGTGTCACCTCTGCCTCACAAGACACCTTTCTTCACCCAGTTCGAGATAACTTCTCCAACTCCGGGGTCGACACCAGCCGCTGACGATGAAATGATTCTTGATTCCCCGGCTCCTATCTCTAGGCAGTCTTCCTTGGAACCTCCCAAGCCCATCATGGCTGAGTCAGTCTCATAATCCCACATTCCTCCTGGAACCCCAACTGACGTCTTTTAGAAACCGTAGAATAGCTGTCCCACGAAGACCATCCCTAACCCGGATGAAGGGTTTCAGTACCACGGCCGTACCCAGTCGCCAGGCTGACACGGAGCTGCCTCCGTTCCGCTTCGGTGCTGGCTCTCGCCTGAACCATACCAGCTCCAACCTGTCTCTCAGCGAATGTTTCGAGTCGACATCACCACCTCAGGAGCGCAGACCCGCATCTGCCAACAGTCCATGCCCTGGTCTTTCTATCGGCCGCACTAGACCCCAATTCCTCAACTTCAATGCATGCTCTCGCGTCAATGGCTCTCCTTCCATGAACTCCCATTCCCGGCGACAGTCCAATCCCTTTCTCAGGAATCGAAAGCAGTTCCGTCGGTCATTAAGCATGTTCGAGCATCCTGCTGACATAATGAAGAGCAATTCAGAGGGAGAGGAGACCACCTCTTCCGCGCTTCAATCGGTTATGGATGTGGAGGAGGCTCAAGAGCCCGTCCTCCCCCATTTCCTTTTGGAAGATCCCACCGATACCATTCCTCGCATCACTCGAGAGACACTCGTCGACGTCTTGGATGGCAAGTACAGCTCCCACTTCGACCAGAAGATCGTGATCGACTGCCGGTTTGAGTATGAATATGAGGGCGGCCACATTGATGGTGCTGTCAACTACAATGATAAGGACCTGCTCACAAATCAGCTCTTCCAGACTCCTATGGATGGGCGGACGCTTCTCATCTTCCACTGCGAGTATTCAGCCCACCGTGCCCCCCTGATGGCTCGTCATGTTCGATCTGAGGACCGCACCGTGAATGCTGAGTTCTACCCCAAACTTACATATCCCGAAGTCTACATTTTAGACGGTGGGTATTCGGGCTTCTTTACCGAACACCGGGGTCGTTGCTATCCTCAAGAATACGTTGAGATGTCTGATGAGGCTCACCAGCGCACTTGCGAACGCGAAATGGGCCGATTGAAATCTCGTAAAGGTCTCAGCCGCGCCGCGACTTTCGCTTTTGGCCAACGTGAGCCTTGTGTAGACGAGTCACCTACTGCTCCCAGCAGGCCTCAGTCACGAACTCTCCATGCACCAATCTCCCTCCTTGGTGCCTCCCCCATCATTGGCGACCGATCACATGCTCGCCGTATGGCCTCTTATTAGACGTTATGATCTTTACGTCTTGGTCTGTTTTGCATGTGGTAGAGTTCGACTCTATCGGTGCTGGTTTCACCTTGTCTGCTCCTTCAGGTCTATGGTCACTCCTCTCTATCGTCTCTTCCCAACAATGTTGTCAAAGGGATTCTTCATACTACACCATCCGCCTTGACGAATCCAGCGGCCAAACCGACCGTGGCGCTGTAATTTGATGTGTGCTCCGACAACTTGTCCTTTCAACTAATCTTCACTACGATTAATCATTCTCATGCTCATAGCACCACCACGACCGCAACGACTTCTTCGCTTTTAGATCACTGACACGAGTTCTCACTCATCGACTGTTATTTTCCTTTTTCTACGTTTTACGCATCAGCAGACAGACCCATTCATGGTTTTCAACTTTTCACGCTTTACATGGTCCAACGATGGAACCTCATTCACCAAGGAGCCAACTTTACTCCCATTCTGCATTAGGGCGCGCATTATTCTTTTCTTTTCTCTCAACTGCATCTGCTTTGGCGATTTCCGGACTTGCATTTTTGGCTTCTAAAACATGTCTTGGGAGCAAGCTTCCCCTGACGACTGTGGCGCTGTTCGCAATAGACATTTCGATACCAGATGTCTCGGCCTCTCAGTGGCTTCACCCTTGGGGACACAGAATTACCCTTTTTACAGAAGCCATACCTTGGCCAGGCACAGCATGACTCGCATGTGTTACTCGGTACCCTATTCGACAGTCTTTTTGATACCAGTATCCTAGAATCATGGATACCTACCTACCTATAACATCCCAACTGCGCATATTGTCGCACCTATACCCCCTGCCTGACCTTACAAAACGGGAATGGTTCACCTCTTTTCTTTGTTCTTCACTACATATTCAAACAAACCCTTCCCACAAGAGAAATGGTGGGAAGATGGGAACTACATATCACCTTCAGGCCTGGAATGTATTTATGTTTTGTCCGTAATAGGCACAGGCCGCAATGTCGCAGTACCATGAAAGACTGGTACTGCGATACCTTCTGTAAATCTAGCTGGCGGAGCAGCGTGGGAGACGCACATGGCTGGCGAAAAGTGGCTTTACTAGTTGTTCATCACTTGACATGAGGAGTACCCCTGGCTAGATACATGAAACTGAGGGATAAAAAAGTTAAAAGTTAACATGCTGCTTCCTGGCGTGACCAACCATCTTAGCCAAAGGCCTGAAGTCTGGCCTTGTAAGACTCATCTTCTTTATTCTGATCTGCGTGGTACAATCATATGGCTGTTGCGTTCCTGACTGGGCAACTATTGTGCAACCTGAAGAGGTCAAAATCGCAATGGATTAGATGGGGGCGGAGTCGATGAACTGCATGACCGAGGCGAAGCAATCAAGTCCCGAACCTAAGCTTGAGACTGTGCAGTGTCATATTAAAAGGTGTCAAAGCCCAAAAGCTTGTTAAGTTGCTGTGTAAAGGCTGTGAGCCTATGAGGTTGTGTATTGAATGTCTGGTAGTGCATTCCAAAACGAACGATGAAGGTTTCAGCTCTTCTGTAATAAGAGACTCAGAGGATCTCAATGGGACTGTATCGTCCTTGCCAGACTTGGTTCTCTTCCATATAAGTGATACTTGGAGGTTACGAAAGGTTAATTATACACGTGACATATGATCAACGTGATGATCCCGATTATTTCGTACAACATGAATAGGATAACTACTTACAGAGATTACTGTGTTGACATGCGATGGACATGAAATAACCAAGTTCCTCAAGTGCGCTCTCTATTCATCGGCCCCGACGGAAAGGCTTCAGTTAATATCACATCAACAACGAACGAACGATAGGTAGAGTCGAGAATGAACGGGTCAAATGCTCAAGGAGTGTGCCTACCCGTGACCAATACATGGGAGCGGCACCCATGACATTCCCCAGCCGCTAAACCGGAATTGAGCTCCTCAACCTCAGCTCTTCAATCTTCACGCAAGATCGAGACTGAATTGCATCTTCGTGGAATTCGGGACTATAAACGCCTACCACATTACCTTCGTCTCGCTATACACAACGACGCTCAGAGAATCTCAGACAATTACCTGCGTGATTGTTGCTCGCACTCTCAGGAGCCAGTACGCTTACCATGTTCCAGGTTTGTAGCCGAATTTGAGGTTGTATGGTCTTGGATGGATGCTGAGAATGTCTCTGGAACATAGCCTCACCCCGGTGATCAATTTCACCTTCGCCTTCACAGAGCACGTTCAGTTGTATTGACGACACAAGAGTAAGTTCAGTGCCGCCGACACAGGATTCACTTTGGAGGCAACAATGCAGATTCTATGTCATGTGAGGACTAAGATATGTTATTGCCCGAGCCTGGAAGACGCGAGATAAAAGGGATGCACCTTGCTGACATGTACAGGCTCGTTGAGGTCAGAGCAGCTCAGCGTACCTTTGAAGGTGCATATGTCCGTACAGCTCTCGGCCAGTTCTCATTCGCCCTTATCATCCTCAAGGTATTCACCCAAGAGTTCTATGCCATCGGTGCCCTCTTTGCCGTGTATGGGGTCGCAGTAATGCTAGTAGCCATATACCGCCGATACGAAGGCCAGAACCAGTTTTTTACTTCTGAATCCCCGGACGGGTCACTCAAGCGGAAATTCAGGACGAGCGGGAATAGTGTGTTGCTGTTGACAATGCTGAGCCTCAGTGCGTATATAACTTTGATGGTTTTGACGTGGCGCCTAGTTTCATAACGTCAATTTTTGCGCTGTCCTGTTAAGAAACACCAGTTCTCATGCAACATGGCAACATGGCACCTGGGTATCTCAATATATCATCGGATGCCTGCAGAAAAGTAATAGCTTGGCATTTAAAGCAGATAATAGTCTCCCTTTCTGCGTCCTGCTTACAGCTTATTCCTCTCCATTGTACTTAGGTCCTCGCCTTTCACAGGGAAGATAGAGAAATACTAGCTCTGAAGGAGCCTGAGAATATATGATAACAGACCATCACCCCAACTGTTGCAGCAGATACTATAAGTGAAAGTATTTGAAGCTTTGCTATTACCGAGCATGGCTCTTATCAATACAAAGTTAGTGGATCTCAAGTACATACATCAAGTTTAGGCAAATATTATCAATATTCCAGGAAGATAGAACAAGGTGACATATTAAAATAAACGTTTTATTCTATATATACTCTTAGTTGGAATTAGTATTTACTTTCATCCCATAAATACTTTAAATAACTGTCCTAACAACCACATGATTCTTCCATAGGGAATAATCATTCACCTATGACAAAGTTTGACTCTACTACAAACTTATAGACAGTTCAACCCTTCTTGTGATATCCTGATCACATAAATATCCAGTACTAAAGCCGCAAATGATCCTACTACACTAGAAATACACATATCAAGGTCAAATTCTCGAGATAATCATGGAGGGGTATCTGAAAGGATGGGTGTGCGAACTCTGTCCGACTGCTTATCTGGCCTATTATCTTTGCCTCGACCAGAAGCTCGTCGTTGATGACCTCAACCATCCGATTGTACTGGTACACTGCGGTCTCTAATTCCGAATGAAATGGAGATTGCCGCCTTTTGAATCCCCTCGCAGTGGAGATGGCGCTGGAATAAAGACCATGCAGTGCGTTTAACAGGTCTGACATAAGGATTCCCTTGGCTCATTCCTGCTCTTGCTCTCCTGGTTTTCTGGACTGATGATGCCACCTCGGTCAAGCCCAAGGCATTTTATATTGGGCGGGTTGTTGTTATATCATGTGCGTTCTGTCTCGTCTTGTTATATTCCGGGCTAGATAAAGGAGCATGGGAAAGCTACCTAGAACGGATAGGGACTGCCACCGCCTATAAACCATAAACAAGATATGAGACTATATCTTAGTATTTAATACGTGAAAACAGGCTCTGTTTTCATGATAGCACAGATACTCAGAACATATTCCCTGTTAGTAACGAGATATGACGGAAGCTTCATACTACAAAGGAACAACTTCAAGAACCGGATGTCAAGATAGGACGTATATCTCAACGTTATTCAGGGCAAAAAGCACTCATACACTCCATGCGGTAGCTTCTCTATTGCCCCTGAATATGAACAGATGTCGGGCTATATATGGTTGTGGGAACAAAGCCTAGACTTTTGATTTGACGTTTATAACGACGGGTTGATGGATCATTGCAGCTATCAGAATCCAATAAAAGCAGTGAGAGTTTGAAAAAAACAGATAATTTTTCGTAATAAAAAGAAAGATTCAAAGCCGCTATGGGGATGACTGCCGCCTATAAGGTTGCCTAATGAAATAATACAAGTATGGATTACTGGATTTTAAGGTAAACTGAGATTCTAAAGGTCGCAGACAGTTCGTCAGCTCACAGTAACGCAGCAGATGAACGCCAAAATAGGATGCATATCATTATGAGTGTTACTCAGATCACTTGACGGACTGAGCAAGTCATCAGCGCGACCTCCCAAAGCTATCCCCTTCCTATTACAAGCCCAAGATATCTTCTGTGCTGTAGACCATTATCGTTGGGTTTGATATGCATTCATGGCCGCATTACTTATGACCTGTTGACCAGAGTTTCCCTGAAGTTGCTGGTCTTGTCCCTTCCTTTCGTGAGACCAATCATCCCCGTAAGTCTCTGGATTCTTCACATATGTGTATCCAGGATATGCCTGTGTTTGGCTCCATGCTGGGTAGTTGGTCGCAGACACCGCGTTTGGTGGGAAGGGGACCGTTGTGTTCATGCCGGAGCTATCGAACCCAGGGACCATACCGCTCATAGAAGTCGCATAGGCATCGGACAAAGCGGATGGCCTTCGCTCGAATTGTCGGCCTGGGGCCATCAAAGAGTACTGAGAAGGATGGTTGCTGGACAGGGGCTCCCCTCCGTACGACATGGACCGTGTTGGTGGTGCAAACTGACCCCAAGCCATGTCCACGTCACCCTGGGGTACTGGCTCCGAGTTCACAGGGGGCCATCCAGATGGGGAGTGGTTCACTGACGTAAATGGAGAGAATTGCGCACTCATCGGAGATCCTGTGGCATATGTATGCCATGGAGTACTCAAATTCGAGGACGAAGTTGGGCTTTGCTCGGGTGCTGTAATTATCCAGCTGGCAGGATGTTGGTTTCCGGCTTCTGGAGGGGTCATGCTTGTAGGTGAAGTCCCTGAAGCTGCAATTCTCAATTAGCTCAACATTGTAGAGATTTGATGATCATGGATGAACCTTTCGTTTGAGGGGGAAACCCCTTGACGCCTTCAGCTTCTGTAATCTTGGGAACTGCAATTGGCCCAGGTCTCTTTGACGATGGCACAAACGGTGGCTTTGTCTTCTTGGGCTGCTCAACTGGGTTGCTGATCGGAGTTGCCGGAGACGAGGTTGCCGAGCTTCCTTTTGGAGCTGTAGAGGATTTCGATGTTTGCTTGCTTCGTGAATCGTCAATCGATGCCTGGTCTACAGGGAAGAAACTGCAGTCTTTCTTCAAACGAATGCAGTTGATACAGCGTCCTTGTGTATCATTAGGCGACGTGATGCATCTGATCTTTCGGCGCCGGCAGTGACCTTGTGAAAACAAGTTAAGACGAGCACACTCCTGTATTGGAAAACCTAGACCTACCACAAGCCACCGAAGTACGATGGTAACCCAGCTTGTTTCTTTTCTTCTCGCCCAAGTTCCCGTTTTGCTGTTGCTCTTCTGCCTCAGAAGCCAGTAAGGAGGCATTGCTCGGTGCTGAGTAGGACCCGTTCATATCCAGACTATGATCTTGACCTAGTGATGGGGCGTGAGGGTCGACCATTGTCATTGAAGAGAGTTGTTGAGAAGGAAGCGTATAAGAAGGCATGAAGCCTTGGGGTGGCATACCCATCTCATGGTCGGCAGGGGAGAGTGGTGGATAGTGGTAAGACATAACGCCAATCATGGGGAGCTCGGACGATGTACTCTCCCACGAATTCCCAGCTCCAGACGAATAGAGTTTCGAGCAGTCTTGCGACGTTATCGCGATGGCCATGGACAGTGTGCAGTGGTTGTGGTTGGAGTTGTCGGCAAGGGGTTTAGCTGGGCACTCTTTCAGCATTCATCGAAAGCATAAGATGAATTTGGCTGCTTGAAAAGAATGAACAATCGGATCGAATTGAATTGAGTTGAGTTGAGAGTTTGCGCAAGCTGTAAATGGAGCTAGAAGCTTTGCGGAGGTGGTAGTCTAAGGTATGTCAGGGACGATACACTTGGATAGAAGTACCGATGCCTTACAGCATCGGTACACACAAAACGAAGACGTATAGTAGAAAACGTCCCTGAAGACGTTGCTGAAGTGCCTGGGTAGCAATTGTGATATGGGTTTTCAACGAGAACGATGTTTACATTGACGAGCAGGGCTTTCTGACTCTGACACAAAAGAGAGCAACGAATAAGAGACTCCCAGCGTGGCAGAAGGCAAAGACACGCTGTGAGGGAAGATCAAGCTCAAGGATGGCAGCAATAATAGGATCAGGTTTCTGACCAGATCAAAATGTGGTCCCTGGCATGTATTTGACCTTTGGTCCCGAAGACGATCGACTTCTAGGGTCAAGGCAGACCAGGGTCTATGCTCTTAAAGATAATGTAAGGTATCTAGCGGCAACTAAACCATGGACCAGGAAAGGGGGGGGTCTGGGGGTGTGAGGGACTCAGATCGAGTCGGAGGCTAAACTGACAAAGATGGTCTAGCATGAAGTCTCATTGTGGCATTAGCACTGATGAGTACCGACGACTAAAATGGTGGATAATAAAAAGGGTGGTGACAACGAAGTAGTTGGAGCGCCACCGTGATGTTATATTGGCCCAGAGCAAGCTGGGTGCAACATGGGCTACCCAAGCGGTTATCGACAGGTCAGAGATCGATGATGTTGAATACTTTTCCTAGCATACCTATTTCACTCAGTTTTTTTTCTTTTCTCGACTTGCCTCGGCGGTGGTGGGCTAGCACTACCGCTGAAGTAACAGCACAGCACGTAGGTAGGTAGTTAGGTTTGTTGATGACAGGCGGCCAAGACATTCCTGGCCCAGGGCCGCGGAAGATGGGCCTGCAAGCATAAGTGCCAACTAGGATGCAAGATCAAAAGTAAACCTGAAGATCCTTGGAGGCAAGCAAGGATGATATGGACAATATATACATACGCTACCAAGCTACGGATACCAAAGTGATTCTTCAACAAGCGCGATGGTTCAGTAGTGGCATTTCAAGTGTCTCGACGCTTCCTATCACAGGGAGCGGCTAAATCATAACGCGGGGCCTCACAACCAGAATCAGAAGGAAATTGTGAGCTCTCATCTCATCAATGGTTAGCTATCAACTATCGAGAGGTGCTCCCCGACCCAAGATCTTGTGGAGCTTAGGTCGTACGCTGGGCCATAGAAGTATAGTGGCTCCAACCTCCACTGAGCTGCCTTCGGTGATGGCGGTTTGTGGAGGAGCCTGGCCAACAGTACATACAGTACAACAATCACTCTTGCTTGTGAGGCTTACAGTACGAGGCCGTCACCCCTGTCAGGATACGAGTGCCGGGACCGGGGCACCAGGGCAAGAAAGCCGGGGCCCCGATGCAATTGACTTGATGGCCCGTGAGTGTTGCGGTGCGTGAGCACGGGGCATTGATGTTGACGTGAGTGATAACCATTCTCCTGCATCAGTCCCAGTAGACATCTGTAAAGAGCTGGCTTGATTAGTGTGAACCAATTGACAGTGCGGCATCGTATGTACCAAACTTTGATTCAGTAGGCTCTATAATGAGGAGGATACGTAGAGACATATCTGGTCAGCCAATAATTTACACATAAGGGGCAATATAACAACAATTTGAAGCAAAGCTTCCAGGGGTAGTCATAGACGTCCTCTTCTATCTGATCCTTGGAAATAATTAGAGCTGCGACCTGCGAGTTTTCCACGGTTCCCGAAATATCATTAATCATATGTAATTACTCGTGCCCGAGAAGTCGAAAACGAATTGGCGCGTTACAAATACAGTATGTACGTGCGTCTCAGCTCGTTGATGTTACCCCTTCTCTCCACTGATGGATATGTGTGTGTGTGTATCGTCCACATTTGGCGAAGAAGAAGCAAAAGCAAGGACTAAATCACCTACAAAAGGCCAACGGGTCTTGTCGGTACACATCCTGGCCCAATTGAGGAGGAACAAATGGCCCTGAGAATCGGACAAGGCGTGGATCATCAGCCAGATTTTCATATTCCTGTTCGATTTTGAGAACCTCAAAGGCGGGGCTGGACTGGGTGTGTCCTAGGGGCCTTTGCGCTCCAACGGCAAAAGTGCAGAAAATCATAACACAAACCCATTAACATCCCAGCTGAACCTGGCATCGACCAAGTAGTGGGTAAGCAAAGTTGTTGATCAGTCCGCAAGGTAGTCCCAATGCGGCAAAGGGGTTGGAAAACAAGGTTCAGCCAGAACGCAAAACCACTCAGTGTGCGTTAGTTATGTGAGCCAGGTCAGTTCTCAACTCGGGTATAATACCCTCCTTACTCAGAGAGGTTGATGTCGTATGTCTGTGCGCTTCCCTCTGTGCTCTGACAGCTCTGCAGATTCGCACATACGCGAGATTATCTGTCACAAGAAACCTCGCTTGGCAAATGTCTATCGCCGTAAGCGCTGCAAGTATCCATTTGCCGATCTCTTGACGTTCAAAATTTTCGTGCATGTCGCCAGGTGAGCACGATGAACTGTATAGGTACGGCTACTCTGGCATCAAACCCAGCAGCTCCAAAAATCCTGGCACATATAAGGATTTTAGGCCACCAAGTTTCCATGAGCGAGAAGAGCCTGTCGCAAATTGATTGTTAAGCCCCTGTATCCAGCAGTGCCCCCTCCTTCAAGTTGGCAACGAGGTCTGAGAACATCACAGACCAATACGAGCCTGACCCTTCACACAACATCAACCTGAGAATGCGTCTGCAACTAAAGACATGCAGTAGTGTTTATAGACGCCACCTAGCTGATGTTTTGGTAGGTTCCATGCCAATGGTGTCTCGGTGTTGCAAGAGGACCACTCCTTTTCAGCACTGCTAGGAGGAAGGGAGTTGACTCGGCGCAAGCTTACGTAGACACGGGCCGCAAGGATATTGGTGAGTATGTACGTCTGCTTCCAGATACATAGAAGAAGTGATGCCGTGTCCAGGACATGATGAGTTCGGGATGGCTAAAGAGTTCAAGATCTTCCCGACAGAGGCTTCACGTCGATCTGAGGATACTCCCGGCGCTAAATGGACGGGCGTCGGGGCGAAGTCTGCGGAAATATTAGTGCCAATAGACACGAAGCTAAGAAGCATCAGAGAGAGCAATGGCTTGGGAGAGGAGATGAGTGACGTTGATTTGGGATTAGTTGCCAAGAAGTTCCGAGTTGAAGACAAAAACAAAAAAAAAAATCCCAAGACCTGCCTTAGCTAAGACTTCTCCTACAGCGGAGAAGCCAAGTTGTTTTAACCTCCAATGCCTCCATCTCCTGTGAGACTGTGAGTAGCTTGGCAGGGGAGGGGGCTGCCCACCCACTGATTGACGGGAATCGAGCCTCCCGCACGTGCACGTTCCTTGACGTGCACTGAACTTCCTATCTGGGGTTGCCTTGGGTGCACAGATCCCTTTGAGAGCCCATCCTAGCCTAGCCATCTTACCTGTGCTACGCCTTAGTCTCCCCACTTCAGCTGCTTTTTCTTCTCCACCAACCTTGTCAAGTGCCGGCTCACCAATAGCAGATCAGATCTACGCAATATCTCCTTGACATTAGCACATTCTTTTTTGCACGGCCCGTACGTACATTACAGGTACGGCCACCGGGTCATGTGCCGCGACAAGCCCTCTTCTCTTGATCTGTGTTTGGTAAGGATGGAGGTTTTAGTCCGTCGAGATGGTTCTATTGCCTGACTGGCTGGCGACGGTCAGCCCTGACGAAAAAGCTGACGCAGGTAAAATATGTCAGAGGTGTCCTCTGCCTCTGCCTCTGCCTCTGCCTCTCTCCATCTTTGCAACTGAGACACCTTCTCCAGAAGCCCAATGCTCCGAGTATTTGGCGCTAGATAGCAAAGTCTTTCTTATCGAGCAATTTACGTGAAGCGGCCATCACCTGGATCATCGTAGCTCCTATATGCTGACCATTCAGACAACGAGGAGTTTATTTATGTACGTCTCAGGTCAGAGTACCCTATTGGCCCATAGCCAATAATGGCCTTACATTATACATATTACAACATATGAGCAATACCAAACCTTACAGAGCAAACCCGCCGCTCACAATCACATCATTCATACTACGCCCATGCCAGTGAATAGGCAGGCTGGAAGGGGAGGAAATTACCCAACATTCATCAGGGTCTGACTGTATGTCGATCTGGTGGGGGGAGGCTTCTGTTCTCGGACTCTCGCAGATAGCAAGCCTACCAACTTCCAGGAGTTCGATTTGAAGTGTGGCTTGATCCCGTGCGCCGTGATCCAGCGTCTTGGGAGGGTAAGAAGTATTCTAGCCAAGGAGAACTCCAATGGAAATCGACCAAGTGTGTCACAAATCGACTGTGGTTTCGTTTCCAAATATCTGATTCAGATATCCTTCAACACTGCACACAGACACCCAGTGTGGAAAGAAATTCGTTATCAGGATGAGACTAGGTTGCGAGTCCCCTGTATAGCAGCACAAGCCCTTGCAGCAACTGACTGACATAGTTATTGGCCAACAATTTTCCGTGCCCCATGCCAACAGCAAGTGTTTCTCAGACATTTTCCAGATGCGAAAACTTAGCGATGATTTCAGCGGCTCTGAGCTAGTTTGTCACGGGCTCTCAAGGCTGTTAATAGTTACGCCGCTAACTGAAGGTTATCCATATTGTCGGGGCATACTCACTCACTTTCAAAAGCCACCCCCACCATTTGAATCCGTCAAGTTGGTGAGAGTTCGGGGAAATACCAACTGAAGCATTCTGCCTCTCGGACATCCCGAACGATCTTATTGGACGATCGCTAGATCTTT